TGTCAGTTTTTTTTTTCAATATCATAGTCACCATTAGTAGTTAGTTTGAAGCCAATACCAGGTATACCACGTACGGTGTGATGTTTGCTCATATACCTGCTGCAATGCACTATCATGGAATTCACGTCCTTTCTTGATAGCAATAAATTTCTTCCGAACTGACTCTGCTGTATCTTGAGTGCCACTTCGGTGTTATTCTGCTGCCGTTTCATTTTGCTATCTTTTGCGATGCGTACTAGATGCAGTCCCACGATTGATTGATGGTGTTTCTAATCTTCCAGTGGATTTATGAAACTATCAAACCCGTTCCGGTAATGACCACTTGTCAGTTCGCTATCCTTAGCGATGACTAAGAATCCATATTTATCGCTCCAGAACATTGCACACATGTCTTGAAATTGCTAAAGATCATATCAGGTGCTACATGATCGGAGAAAACATGAAATAAATGTGTATTATCCACCTTGAATAAGACAATTATGTTAGCATTGTCTCTTATTACTGTTTTGGGCACCCAGCTGTAACTCAGCACACAATAGAAGCAATTCACACATCTGTGCCTACCCATACTGAAGTATTCTAGAACAGAAGTCTGATTCTCTGTCATTACGTCATCAAAAATGAATATTGAATTCGGCTTGGCTTTCGATGGTGGTATAATATCTGAATTGTTGTTAAGTGCATAATATCCTAAACCATTGATCGAAGTTAGTAGTTTCTGTATAAACTGATATTTCGGTTGATTCAATGATTTTGAAAATATATAGAGGTTTTCGAAGAAGAGTCCATTCTCATGTAGCAGTAACGATATTGATACGTTGGTTTTTCTACAATTCGATGGTCCAACAATATGGCGGATTGTGGATGGGAAGAGACTTCCATGCCGCTGCATAGCATTGTTTTGTATATCCGCCACTTTTGAATCAATATTGCTGATACATAATTCTTGTTTCTGTTTTGTGACCCTCATTGTACAACGAGTTGAGAATATATAAACCGCAATTGGTTATGTCTTATTTATTTAAATGCCACTACTTCGCATTAGAAGGTGTCAAAGCACTCCAAAAGCAGGTGGTGGTGGTGGTTTTGTCGATACGCTGATAGATAAATTACCAGTTCTGCGGTCCAGGGCCACGTCTTCAAAAGAGGTTAGCCCTGGGTCAGAAAGGCATTCATAAATTAGACGCTGCATGCTTACAGTACGATATTGCATATCAGAAATCTGATTTGACAGCGAGACACGTTGCTGATTATCAACTTGAGCAAGAAGCTTGGAAAAGAGTCACATCTCGAAACGCAAAACTTAGAGAAACAGCTGCCGCTTGGTTAGTTACTAATATCATGAAAGAAAAACGTCATGCAGGAATGAGTCTAGCATCATGTCGTGGACGGAGTAGAAGAAAATACATCAGCAGAAAATGTATGGGAGGACATGCATTACGGCGTGGACCTAAAGGAAGAAAAGCTATCCCTAGAAAATCAAGTAGATCACAGAAAAAGGTACATTTTGGATCGGGGATAGTGAATAAAGTATGCAAACACATTAAAAGGTTCTCAAACTGTAAACCAGACAAGAAAGTATTAGTAGCATAGAAGCATATCAGATCCATCGGTGGAAAACGGCTGATTCAGCTTCCACGAGTTATACCTATTACCAAGGTTGGAGGCATCCTTCCTTTGATACCAATTTTTGCCGGTCTTTCAGCATTAGGTAGTCTAGCGGGGGTATTGCCAACATAACAAGAGCTGCTAAAACAGCTAGTTCAGTGCGTGAACAAATTCAAAATAAAAGCAGTTCACCACCTTCTTCTATTGTGAATCGAATTGGGGATGGTCTCTTTCTGAAACCATACCGTAAAGGATTGGGGTTATTCATCAAGTTAAGGAATTAATTCAAAAAACTATTGAAAACCCTCCCCCTCGACCGCTAACAAATATAGATCAAATCTACTATGCGAGGAAGCTAAAATTACCATATTTCAAAGGAGTATTTATGCGCGATGAAATGTCCGAGCAGGGTCCGCTGAAGAATGAATGAGTCATAATTAATTTAGATATCAAGAGTGGGGATGGGTCACATTGGGTTACATATACAAAACGAGGGATAGTTGTATGGTACTATGATAGTTTCGGCAATCTACCCCCACCCAAGGAGCTAATCCAATAATTGACCAACAAGTCGAAAAAGATAATCTTGTACAATTATAATCGACAACAATAGTTCAATACGTTTTGGTGTGGTCATTTGTGTCTGCGATTTCTATCTGAAGAACATCTGAGCGCTGAAGACAATGGATCACGAAGGATTGAAAAAGATTAGAAACTCTCTTAAGGCCTGTTGAATTTGACGCGAGATGAACTTGCACACATACCGAAAGAGGTACTCATATGCTGCACGTCAAATGAAATAGCACATGTATGGAACAAACTGCCGGAGCATTTGAAGGAGGACGCTGATACACAGCGATTCCAATTCTGCTGGGAACATCATGGAATAAGCAGGAGTGATGATGAAGCAGATGGACCGCCACCAAGAAAAATATTTTGTTGTTATTGTAACATGCAAGATATCAATGTTAAAAATACATCTGAATCAAACAACTGTTGTAACCAATAAATATTTGTTTTCCTATATAAGACCATTTTTTCATTCATCAACTCTTCAGTCATGTCTAACACATTTACTCTAACGGGTTACACTACCAAACTGTCTGCTAATTTTTATCCACCAATCGAGTTGGATATGTGCGGAATATAGTCTGGGGTTAATTGGCTTTTATTCATACAACACCATATACAATATTGATGATCAACATAATAAAATATCTTTACTCACGAGGGTGACGAGAGTAATGTGGTAACCCTGAAGGTGTTTATGAAATCGAAGATATCAGTAAATACATACAACATGAAATAGTATCAATGAATGATACATATAAAGAGAGAAATGAATCCAAAGTTGATGAAATGTTTTCTTTGAAAGCCAACACTCATACTTTGAAGTGTGAACTCCATTCTGTATTCGATATTGCTCTGTCCAATTCCATGGCAAGTCTGCTTGGATTAAAGAACAACATTTTTCCCAGAAACAAAATCTACACATCGAATTTACCTGTAAACATAACCCCCATCAGGATAATAAGGATAATAAGTGTCGACTGTGGATTAATATCAGGAGCTTATTGCGATGGCAACGAAATGCACACTTTGTATGAGTTTGATATAGACGTTGAACCAGGAATTAAAATAACAAAGAAGCTTCAGAATGTAATATATACGAGCGTTAAACCGCGTGGACGCCAGTTTATTGATAACATCACACTAGAAATTTTGGATGATATCGGAAATTTGGTCAATTTCCGTGGTGAAAAAATTATAGTCAAATTAGAACTGCGACGCCTGTCTAGTGCCAGCTGAATACGATGGGATTTCTAAGTAACCTAGATATATATCATTTGACGAATGTAGGAAAAGGTCGCACAACTAATCATAAAAGACGAAGAACCAATGGAAAATCCGTGAATTGTCGTTCAAACATCGTCAAAGACACAGCATCGAATATTTCATTGCAAAATCGCAAGTTTCTGGAGTCTATAGGGCTGACACTAATCAAACAATACGGTTCTACACGTATCAAATGAGAAATGGGATGTTTTTGAGGAACCCATCATAGATCATTCCTTAGCCAGCCTACAAGAATACACATACAAACCGTATGGATCACGATATATCCGGAATTCAGATATAGTTCACATCCCTATAAACTTCCAAGATCTTATTTTAAACATTGCTGACAGTTATATTTACGTTGAAGGAAGATTTACGCTTAGCGACGCTACAAAACCCTGCTACTTATCAAACAATGCCTTGGCCTTTTTATTTCAAGAAATTTTCCTATAAATGGGTGGCGAAAAAGTTTATGGAGTTCGGAATCCAGGGATAACTTCAACTATAAAAACGATGGTGTCACTTGGTAAAAGTGCTATGCATACATTTTTATGTACTGGTTGGGGCTTAAGTGCCGAGAACTCGGCTATACCTATATGATGACAAAAGCAAAGTGGAAGAATACCCCTAAAACATATAATGGGATTCGCAGAAGACTACAAAAAAGGGATTCTAAATTCTAAAGAGCTTCTGTTGGTTATTGCTAGATCCTTCAAAAACTGTTATGTAGGTGAATGTGATGATGAATTGACTATATCCAAGATTGAATGGAAGGTTCAACACATCGTTCCGGAAGATCGTTACAAAGTCAAGTTTCTGCAAAGGTGAGCTCAAGGATCAAGGTAGCATTTCGATGTTGGGATCTCTATGAGCTTCCATCTCTTTGTTCTACATCATCGGATGTTTGGGCAATTATAACAACCAGTAAACTAGTGAGATATCTATTGGTTATCATTGGATTTCAAGATTCTACAGTTGAAGAAAATCATTCGATAGATATAACTAAATTCATAAATGCCAACGTTAACTCGATTTGCTTGAAGCTGAACAACCAAGTATTCCCATATGAAAGGTGGAACTTGATTTTACGAAAAAAAGCTCAACACCGCAGCTTATTATTTGAGAACTTTCAAAGAACATACTACAACAGGAACATTCCTGAACCTATGATGGATATTAAAGAATTTAATGACAATCCGCTTTTCGTTATTGATTGCAGTCATCAGCCTGATCATCTCCAACTTTCAACTGTCGACATATCTTTGGAATTTGAGGCCAGGAAATCTGCATTTCCATTCCATACCAAGGTGTATGCATTAGTTATTCATGACTCATGCATCAGTTACAATGCTTTCCAAAATGGACTTATTCATTCCTATTAAATGTTTTTTTTTTGTAAGTGTGAAATAAAACACATTTTCTTACTACATGTTGCTTTTATTTACCTGTACGAGCTTGAAGTAACCTAAATCTAATACTTAAAAACTTCCTCTAACATTAATTTTATCAATAAGTCTAAATTACCATTTTCAGAAAAAGCGCCTTCTGCAATATCATATTGCATCTATAGCATATTTAACATTCAACGAGGGGTCAGTCTGGTAAAACTCAATATCAGAGTGTCCACAAGGTAAAGTTTTTGTGGTGTTAGGAATAATGAACCTTTTATCGTCATGATGTGCTAGAGCAACGTTATCTGTGTACATATCATGTAGTTTGCTTTTAGAGGTATGCATCTTTCTCAATACCCTCCCTCCTCCTTCGATTATTCTCTTATAGTCATTCCCAGATAGCTGCTTCTGTATCACGGACTTCTTAACGCCCTTTGCCTTTTTCATTTCACTTTTAACTGACCTAATATAGGTAATAAACTTTTGCACCCTCCCATAAAAGCTAATTGTTGGATCCGCTGGAAGCTCATCCTTCATTTTACAGAGGATCGAATGATTCACTGGAATATTGAATTCATTGTTCTCATTATAATTCGATGTGTCAAATTCATTGATATGATTCTTAATGAACTCACAGAAATCCTCGGTGTGTATTTTTTAGTAATGACCACAGAACAGAAAAATAGGAGGAAACGGCAAATGGACGATGCGATGCAAAGGGTTGACAACTTGAAAGAAATGACACAACAGAACAAGGGCAAGCTTTTAGGAGAAAAAAGAAACACTTTTACTTTTATTTGATTTTTGAAAATGTACATACGTATATATATACAATGTATAATGTAATAATCCTTAAAATTAAAACTTATTTTTTTTTCAGGCATGTATACGTGTATTATAATTTTCAAAAAAAATAGCTGCTTGGTGGGACAGCCGCATACACATCGGACATTGCGATAAAGAATTTATGGTAGTCGTAGCGCTCGGCGAATTAGAAATGTCCCGGGAGCTGGTCACACTGAATCTACCTTCATCGCGGATTCGACTAAATTTACTAATAATATGTAGTTTTTAACTAAATGAACAAGAGCTCGATATGACGGGGCGCATCCTATCGAAAGTACCTACCATACCGACTTGAAGATAAAGCGTGAAAGAAAAATGTCCCCATCTTGGTGGAATCCAATGAAGCCTACATACGTTTAAATGAAATTTTAGGCTTATTTGAAAAAACTTGAAATGAAAAACTTATTTCTGCCAGAAGCTCGTATCGTACCAATTGAAAGCTAGAGCAGTCAATGCAAATAGGTATAGATAAAAATAATACCCCTGTTTGTAAGCTTTATGTTTGCATTCAAAAGACCATTCGAGTTTGTCAGTATGACACATGGCTACTAGATGTTTGAAAGTATATGTAAAATGAATATGACATACGTATAAGTTATCGTAGAATCCTACCGTCACGTTGTATCTTCAAGTCGGTATAAGAGGTACTTTCAGCAGGATCCACCCCAAGCATATCAAGCCCATATGTTCATTTACTTAAAAAATACATATTACCATGAAGTCTAGTCGAATTCGCGATGTTATTAGATTTAATCTCGCCGGCTCCCAACCCCAAAGGAAAATGAGCGGAGTGACATTCGTGTTGATAATTGAATTTTTATGGTATCGAGTCAGCGTGCAGGTGATAAGATAGTGGTCATAAATTCGACGTAAACACATTTATTCTTAAGATGATCTTTGACAGCGTTTCGATTCAACAAATTTTCCAATATTTGGTACAATGATTTTAGCAGTGGAAATTCTGAGTACCGTCGCTAAGAACACATCTGACTAGGATTACCTCTTCAGAACATTGAAGGGCTGACCTCAATTCATCAATCCGCACTCTTCTTTCTTCGCCAGTAATGCCATCATAATCGGTAGAATGTTTGTCTACATAATGTCGATGAATACTCGATGACTTAACGTTAACTATGCTGTGACAAATTAAACATTGTGCTTTCGATCAGTATTTACAAAAAGAAACGCTTCTGCCCATAGAGGATTGAACGACATCGTTTAAAAAAATAATCACGTTAAGACTAGGTACTTTCCCTTGTCCTATTAAGAAATCACCTGCGACCGGGGGATAGTCTGATTATATTTTTCTTTCTGACGCGACGGCTGTGTGGACAAGGAAACAACACGTTTTCGATACTATGAGGATAGTCATTGAAGGGACTCGGAATTTAAACACTCCCCGCCCCTTACCCCACCACACAAACCACCCCTTCGGCTGTCGGCCTCAATCATCTACTCACCGGTTCTGTCATGTGCAATTTGCTGAAAAATAATGGACATACGTGGTTTTCTATATTTATGTTGATATTACGGGTTTTTCCTTTTAATTTAAATACAGATTTGTAAAGATGTTTCCGAATTTTCAATTACAATTATGATCTATAATTTATTTCCTCAACACTTTTTTAACCGCTTTAGGCTTGCGGAGGCCTCTGAAAGAAGAATAAATCCAAAATGTAATAATTAAAATGGACGTTTAATTTATTTGCTCTCCAAACTGGCGCAACAGAATTTAATTTTATTACTAATACTACTACTTCTTAAGATTAAAATTAAATTTTGATGTATAGTTAGCATAGAACAGGCTTTTTAATGATTTAGTTTTGAAATTTTAGGATGTCATCTAGAAAAAAAAAAGAGAATGAATATAGTTGAGAAGAAAACTTGCAGTTCCACTGTAGATGCTTCTGAATATATAGTTAAAAAAAACGGAGTTTAATTCCCTATTAACGTAGAATCGTCCAATAGGTACTACAGAGTGTCGCATCGGGAACTTCATCGATAGATTTCTCGAAAAGTAGGCATATGATATTTTTGAAAATTTGGGAGTTTACTAATGTCGATGAGGCAACGGCAGCTAAAATATTTTCGGTACTTTTGGTATAGTCAACTTGCTTACTTTAAATTGGACACCGTACATATTACTTAATAGTCGGATTTTATATAAAATTCTAATCACATTTCATGTATAATCTCCTATACCCAAGTCTAACCGGTTTTGACATATTTCAAATTTTATGTCAAAAATGACCTTTGCAGGCCCTAAAAATAATAATTCATTTTCCGTATGTAGAACACCTTATTGTTTAATGTGGATTGATTTTCTGGTAAACAGGGATATAGTTTATACACTTTGTATGATATTTCGATAATTATTTATAAAGGGTGCTCAAAAAATTACTATAAAAATTGAATGTCAAAAATTGCCAAGAGTCGATTTTTCAAATGAAAACCACCTAATTTTATAAGTTTATCGCATCAAGAATTAAAAACTAGCGTAAATTTATACATGGTTATCTATCCCAAAAATGCTTACTTTTCGAGTAATTTGAAATTTATTGCTTTTCTATTGTAAAACTCCCATGAGTACAGATTTAGTTTTTTAATTAGTTGGCTATGACGACGGGATGCGGAGAACAAACAATGGGGTATTTTCCAACTTGGTGATATTGTCCTATTGATGGCTGAAATCGATTGTTTACACCATTTATCAATTGGTGTACACTTTGCACGCGCTTTTTTCACTCATTTGCTGGAAAAAATACATTTGAAATTCATACCACCAAAGTGGGTTCATTTAAACTTCATGTTTGTCCCTCCGAAAAAATCAGCCAATAGGAATCGATTTTTTTAAAGGTTTTCATTAGAATGTGACGATATTTTTATGAAGGATAAGCATCAGCGCTATTGCCATGCACTAGGGAATTTCATGAAAGTTCACGACTTAGCAACGCTTCTTTATTCCGATCAACAGTGTTGTCTCAATGTCTATGTTACCGCTAATATCCAAAATCCGCTAATATGCATAATAATTAGACATACTAGGAATTATGCGTAAATACTAAAACTGTCGGTTAGTATGCAAAATAACGGCGCGTATCAGGAATTATCGATAACTACTAAAATCGTCAGTAATTATGCAAAGTATCGCCATATTTTTAGTAAATATTGATAATAACTGACACAGCAATAGGAATTATGCATAATATCTGCTGTGTATATTAGTGATTATACATGTAACCTCACAAAATACGACTGGTCGTGCCTTGAAGCGTGCGTTGAAGTTTGAGGTTATGTTTTGATTGTTTTGTTGTTGGGGTTTCTCATCGCAATGACTGCACTACCTATTGATAACATTAAATTTAAATTTGTCGATGAAGTTAAGAAGTCGAAGGGAAAAACAAACTCACGATTGAACATTTTATTCAAGGAAGAATATGACGTGCTTTTATCCGAGGTAAGAATGATTTTAAACTAATATAGTTCCTATATTTTAACGTTTAATTCCTGATGTTTTTCTCTAGGTTAGGGATGCTTCATCAAATAATGGTCCCAAAACTCCATTACAGTATCGTAGACTTAAAAGATTTGGAATAGTCGGAAATATTGAAAAGCTTGTAACGCGAAATAAAGAGAAACGGGAAAGGAAAATAATGAAGATTCTAATAATATAGTGATTGACATACGAGATGTTCGCTATGTTGTTCCCGTTGAAGAAATGTTTGATATTTTAACCGTTTGTCACAGAAGTATAGGTCACGGAGGAAGAGATCGAATGAAGACCGAAATGTCCAAACAGTATTCGAATATTACACAAGGAATTATTTCAATATACTTGTCACTTTGCGAAGTTTGTCATTTAAAGCGATCCAAAAAGCGAAAAGGTATCACTGTAAAACCAATAATTCACAAAGAATTTAATAGCCGTGCTCAAGTCGACTTGATAGATATGCAGTCGAACGAGCAAACGCCGACGTTGAGGCAATGTGAGCCACCTGGATGTCTGACAACAAAACTAGAGAATGGTCGAAAGGCTTATCTACAGTGCAATTCATGAAAAATAGGTCTTTCCATGCTGGAGTGAAAATGTCGCCATATAAAGCTTTGTTTGGCTGTGAACCGAAAGTTGGTCTTGCCACTAAAAATCTACCTGCAGAAAGTATTCAAGAAATTGTTACTGAGGAGGATTTGGATGCTCTTTTGCAATGTGACGACTATGAGATAGATGAACAGGAAACAGATAATAACGAAAACAACCCAAATAATATTCCAAGAGCACTAGAAAATCGAACAGTGAATATGCATAATAACTGATTATTTTAGTACTTATTAATAATTCCTGATACGCGCCGTTATTTTGCATACTAACCGACGGTTTTAGTATTTACGCATAATTCCTATTATGTGTAGTTTTTATGCATATTAGCGGATTTTGGATATTAGCGGTAACATCTATATTATGTATGTATAGCTGTAGGGCGACATAACTTGGCAACATTGTGGTTCAACGAGGGTCAAACCGTTGACTTTTGACAGTGACACAGTTGCGTACCGTGTTTCGTGCTGTTGATTTTGTGTTATCCGTTTTGTAACCTTTATATTATATATTGAATTCTTTTGAACATTACAACAAAATGTCGGTAAAAAAGTGTCTGATTAAAGTGTGTTCAAACACAAGTATTAATTCGCCTGATAAAATATTCTTATCAGTTCCGATAGATCTTGACACGAGGATTATTTGGTACCAGGCTGCAAGTGTTGAAGGTCCCATTCCTACCACTATGTTATACTGTTGTGAAGATCATTTTGATGTAAGTTTATTAACAGAGCTAAAGTTTTTCATATTATATTAAATCTCGGTTTATTTTCAGTTGGCAGATGATGCAGAAAACTGGCAATATTACAAGACAATTAAGTCCACCATCAAAAAAGAGGAAAACTGAGATGTTAGAAACATTAGGAAAAAAGCTTCACTGCAAGAGAAAACCAAGGGCAAAATTATTTGATGAATCGCAGCCAGGTATATGCAGAGATCTGCATCAGGATGAATCTTGCCAGCAAAACTCGAGTTTGCTACCCCTGAAGAAAGCAACCAAAGGAGTCAAGTTATGGTTGATACGAAAACAGTGTCAACCAGCACACTACCTCATACTGCAGAAAAGGCTGTTGCCACTAGTCATCCCAAACGAAAACAGTTGGTTGAAAAGTGCACAGGGATTTGTAGTGATAGCACTAATGGCTCAAGTGGTAGTTCCTCCCTGCAGCTATCGCGCACTTCATCAGAAAGCAATGGAGCAAGACTGAAGACATCAAAAGAGGAACTAGAAATATCTAAATTAGAGAACAATAGTCGGTTTTTCTTAGGTTTGCCTGAAGACTGTTTCTATATTGTAAATTTATTAGTTGAAGAAGGTGGACTGGATTACATTGATGTTTTGATCACAATGAAAAAAATTAGGACAAATGATCAGTTTTCAAGAATAGGAATTGATTTTGGTAAAAGCACAAGTGCCATATCTAAATTTTTTGATAGAACTGTTGTAGTAATGGCTCCTTTAATGACACAGTTGATTGTTTGGCCTCCCAGTTGGAAAATCAAAAAATTAGTACCAAATCAATTTAAAGCCTATTACAACAATGTACAATCAATTATTGATTGCTTTGAAGTTGAAATTGAAAAACCTTCAAATGCACTGCATCAGGCTAAAACATGGAGTGAATATAAAAAGTGTAATACTATAAAGTATCTTGTGAGTTGTACTCCTAATGGGCTGATAAACTTTATTTCTAGTGGGTTTGGAGGACGTACAACTGATGTACAAATTGTTGAGAAATCAGACCTCATTAATGTGATTCCAGAAAACTGCATAATAATGGCAGATAGAGGTTTCAAACACATAGAAACTATACTGCATAAAAAAAGCGCATCATTATTAAGACCTCCAAGCATTAGTGCGAAACAAAAACTCACCAAAGCAGAAGTTAATAAAACTAAAATAATAGCTGCTTTGAGAGTCCATATTGAACGGCTCATAAGGAGACTCCCTGAATTTGCTATGTTAAAACCACATGCCTGTATACGGTCCAGAATAGTCCACCTCCTAGACCATGTGGTGATCATTGTGTGTGGTTTAGTAAATTTACAAGAACGGCTCATCAAGAAATAAGTATTATTGCCATGCAAGTCTTGTTTTTTCTATATTTTAATAGTACATAACTGCAAGTGCAAGATTGTTTTGTGGTATATTAATACTAACACAGTGAATTTCTTAGCTACACATTGTGCACATACATAAAGCTAAGTATGAATAATTTTGTAAAACACCAATTTTTCCTTTTGTAGGTTAAAATACTTGTATAGGACTTATTTGAGGCTGTTCTTTACATAATATAATTTTTTGGAGTATCTATAATTTTTTATTCTCCTTTACGACACATTATCATTTAGAAACCTCAAAATAAATAAATTACTCGAATTTACCAACGCTCTATGACATAAAAATAACTAATTATTTAGTAAAGTGTATACTTTGTGTATTAAATTTTTGAAAAGCTTATTAGATCAACAATGTTATGGATTTCAGGATTATTTTAGCTGGTCAGCTGGTGGTATATATCAATATTTTTGTTCATCTACAAATACAATAAAACATTTGCAGCTACCTACTAATGTAAATAGTTAAAAAAACATTTCATGAATAAAATACTTTTTTAAAACATTATAAGTGCTTTATTCAATCAAATAAACACATAAAATAAATTTGACAAGAATATATGCATAATATAGACTAAATACATTTGCATAATGTATCACAGTTTGCAAATATTAATCATACATTTTCTGATGATACCTGAATAGAATAAACTAGCAACTAAACCTGGTGTTGTCTGGTTCAAAATACATTTTCCTATCTTATATATGGGCCCAAATCTTGGTACCATTAAGTGTATGTTGTAGTGTATACATTGTTAACTGATTAATTCAGTTACTAAATCAATTTATTATAAATCTATAATAAAACTTTGATACATTTATATAAAATCTAATACATGAAAATTTATACCAAATATATTTCAATACACACGAACAATTGAGTTGTCTTTTAGTCGAATCTACAGGTAAATTGTTGACATTACAAGTTGGGTACATTACAGTAGATCTATTGAATCAGTTTTGGGAAGATAGCTTATTCCCAAAACAAAGTTGCTTTTTGCAGCAAATCCTTACAAAAAAAAATGTCAAGTACAACTTCCACAATTGATACATCTTTATTCACTTCAAAATTTGGTGATGCAACACAAAATAATCCCTTCTTTCTGCCCGACAATAGCATTTGGAGTTGAATTTGGGCAAAAGGTTTCTTACCTATGACTCCATCATTTAAGTATTGCTTAAGTGTCGATTCTTTTGATGGGCACTTTATTTCAATACAAAACTCAGCATTTACAGCATCAGGGCTAGCTCCAAATATAGGATATCTCTTATCTACAAATATTCCTACTTTTTCTACTTTTATTAGTTTCTTTCTTGCCACAACCTTCAATACTTTATCCTCTAATGATAATCCCCTCTTCATAGCCTTTGTGGACTTGAATTTTGCTGCACCCAAAATTGACTCCACTAAACATCCATCATATGCTGTACTCTGTGCTGCTTCATAAAACTTCGATGCAGTAATACGTGCATACCTTATCTCAAACCATGTACCAGTATTGGATTGATCTTTTGTTTGATTTAAAATTTCTTTACAAGGCTGATCATTCATATCTTGCTGACGATACTGAATAAAATTTTCAGCAGTGATGCTGCTACTGTTTCTTACAAATTTATTTATTAAATGATATAGGGATACTTTATCAATAGCATTCTCTTCAGTTTTGTAGTATTCAAATAAAATGCCCTTGCTTTTGTCTTCGAATCCTTTTTCTGATAGTTTTTTTAAGAAGGAATTATTGTGTGATGCAACTGGGGGAACATTCTTAAATAGCTCGTTCAATTTTGCTGCTTTCACTTTTGCTAAAGTCGGTTTTCGCCAGTAGCACTCGACACTTGTTACAGAAGGTTCTGTAGAACGTCATAGTAGCCAAAACATCAGAGCTACACCATGCTTGCACCCTCCTAGAAATTAAAATATAGTATATTATAAAGACACAAGGAATTATTAAACTCAATACCTTCACTAGCTGGGCAGCTATGACACACACTATGTGTAATCTTCTCTTCAGCCTCATTAATGCAGATTGTCACCTGATATCCTTTTTCGTGGATCTTTTGTTCGGGAGTTACTTGGCACTTTACAGTACATATTGATCCATCTCGCAACAGCTGGACAAATCCGATAGCTTCATCTCCATACGATTGCTTGCCACTTCTAGGAACAAAATTGGTTATTAAAATATATTTCCTCACAATCGAAAAAGTACCCACCTTTGTGTTTTCACATTTCTCACATTTGCTTTGACAGTCATCATTGTGTCGATAGTATTCATCGATCATCTCGTAATCTACTTTCGGTAAATTCGAAGAATCTGCTTTCACGAAGTTTTGTTCCATATTTGAATTCTGTATTTAAAAAGCTAAATTCCACAAACTAAATCACAATACTGCCGTGCTTAGCAGAAACGCCGTATATACAAAAAAATTGAAAAATGAGTTTTTTACATATTCTTGCTTGAATTCATGTTTTCTATATATAGAACTTAGCAAAAATGCCGTTTGAAGCACCTTAACCATAAAACAACATAACTATTTTGCAGTAACTAACAAAAATTTGGTTGCATGCTCATTAAAACTGCCGTATCTAACATTATTTAGCATAAATGCAACATCTTCCGGTCAGATTCTGCGTTTTTGCTAAGTACATGTGAATTGCCGCGTTCCTCCCAAGTACAAGTCGTGTCTTGACTGTTATTAATTATTATGATGATGCATTAAAAACGTGGTCAGTTGTTTGTTTTGGTCCGTGCGGATTGAAGTGTTTTGTTGAGGGTTGTTTTATTATGTCCAAAAGAACGAAACTAATTTTGGATCTAGCCATGGGTGCTACATACCAAGCTCCAGCTGGTATTTCTGAGTTACCTACACAAACCATTCTATTTGACATAAAAACTCAATTTTTATGATTTTTAGATTGCTAAGGATGCTAATCTTACAAAAGCTGGAACTAAACGCAAAAGAAAAAAATCACCGAGAGTTTGTTAAGCAGGAAAAAGAAAAAAGCCGAATTAATAAAAGCGCTGTCGGTCCTTCGTGTAATAAGGAAAAATGTAAAATTAGATGTTCAGTACTTTTTTCTGAGGATCACAGACGTGAAATCCATAACCAGTTTTGGGAACTATCTCATACAGAAAGAAGATCATTTGTTTTAAGCTCTTGCGAACGTTTGGAAATTAAGCGTCGAACAACAGAAAATAATGCTGAATCACATGTTAGACATAATGTTTTCAAATACACCTTCAAAGACAGCCTGGGGTAAGAAAACATGTGTGTAAACACTTTTATTTGACCATTCTCGGATACAACCCAACGAATGATCGATTCATTTATGAAGTTCTATCAAAAACGCCAAAAGGAATCATAGTACCGTTAGAAGACCAACGAGGGAAAAGTCGTTCAGCAAACTTTATTCAAAAAATGAGTTAGATGCACATATTGAGTCTTATAATCCAGTTAGTTCACATTACAGACGTGCACATGCACCAAATGTTCGATATCTTCCCAGCGATATAACTGTCAGAAGCATGCATGCTGATTTTTTAGAAACATTTCCTAATATTAAGGTGTCGTATAATATATATAGATGTCAGGTTGAAAAGAAAAATATATCTTTTGCTAGACTTGGCAATGAAGAATGTGAAATTGTGTGAGTATGAAGCTTTATGAGCATAATGAAGATAGTCTTCAACCTGGATGTGAAACCTGCACGATTTGGAAATATCACATTGATATGGCTAAAGAGTCACGAGAAAAGTACCGACAACAAGCGCATGATAATGAAAAAAGTAACTCCTATTTTTCTGCTAACTTAAAGAAAGTGATAATGTTGCCAAGATTAGAGACATTTAAAAGGGTCTTATTTATCCAAAGGCTTTCAGTTTATAATGAGAGCTTCGTTCCACTGGGGAAAAAGAGTCTGGCAAAACCTTTTGCAGTACTGTGGCATGAAGGTATAAGCGGAAGAGACCAAGATGATGTTACAAGTGCATTTTATGCATTTTTTAAAAAACAAGGAGACTTAGAAAAAAACACTGTTAGGCTTGATAACTGCTCAAGGTAAAACAAAAATTGGTGCTTATTAAGTTTCCTTGTTTTCATTATACAGGGTGGGGCAAAAGTCACGAAGGGATTTGAAAAATTAATAACTTTTTTAAATTTATTTTGTTTTCATTTTTTTTTTCAGGACCGTGTAAAATAAATCCTGGAGATTAATTATGGAGCGTTACAACCTCAATCAACGAACCAAACTTATAGAATTTTATTTTGAATATCACCATTCAATAATTCAAACTCAACGAGCATATCGTCGTCATTTCAATTTGCGGAATTCGCCCTCTGAATCAATGATTCGACGCTTAGTGGCACGATTTCAGCAACAAGGCACAGTTATGGATCTCCCACGAAGCGGAAGGCCACGTTCCGCAAGAAATGAAGGGAACATTCAACGCGTTCAGGAGAGTGTTCAGGAGAATCCGGAAACCTCAACCCGAAGACGTTCTGCTGAGCTGCAGATGTCTCAAAGGTCTTTACGCAGAATATTAAGAGGAAATTTACATCTGTTTCCATATAAAGTGCAGCTAGTGCAAGAACTAAAACCAGCAGATTTTCAAGAACGACTAACTTATGCAGTTCGCTTGCAAAGAATGGCTCGAGAAGATAATGAATTTATTCATTCTCTGATCATGAGCGATGAAGCCCATTTTCATTTGAATGGCTTCGTAAATAAGCAGAACTGCAGAATATGGGGTACCGAGAACCCAAGGGTGGTTCATCAAAGGCAATTACATCCGCTTAAATGTACAGTATGGTGCGCAGTTACGTCTCAACGAATTATTGGACCATTCTTCTTCGAAGACCACGATGGGAATGCTGTATCTGTAGATGGCGACCGATATCGTGCTCTTGCTGACAATCAAACGATGACTTTCCAACAAGATGGAGCCACTGCGCATACTGCTCGAGCCACTATGCACCTTCTAAGGCAGATTTTTGGCGAACGTTTAATTTCGAGAAATTCAGGATTCAATTGGCCCGCCCGCTCGCCGGACTTAACAGCCCCTGATTATTTCCTTTGGGGATATCTGAAAGGAAAAGTGTATATTAATAAACCCACAACCCTGCAGCAACTAAAAGATAATATTCGAGCAGAAGTAAGTGCTTTGGGGCCAGATATTCTGACTCGGGTAATGGAAAATGCTCTTGCAAGAGCTGCACTTTGCGAGGCTGAAAATGGCGGTCATTTGCGTGATGTAATCTTTCACACTTAAATTGTAAACAAACTCCAAACATTGCATTTTAGTTTTGTGTTAGGGAAAAAAATTAAAATTAAAATTTAAAAAAGTTATTAATTT